CGGATAAAGACCAAAGATCTTGAGCGACCGATCCGGCAGAACAACTCAAAAGATAAATAAGTATCGTTAATCTCTTCATGCTCGTTCCAAGTTCGAAGTACCATCTGTACAAATAAGAATCCCCTTCGTTACATGATTTCTTCTTCATATAGATAGATATAGGATCTATGGGGCAATTACTTAGAAGTACATTTTGTGCTACAGCCCTTCCTATCTGATAGAAAAGGATCCCATGATCCTGAACCGATCTTACCTGGGATCGCAAATCCCAAGTTTGTCTATAAAGAACAGATCTAATTGTATTAGTGTCTATAATTGATTTCTTCTGTGTAATACTAATCGATAGGACCTCATTGGTAAGTGCTACAAGATCTCGTGCATTGGAACCCATGGTTATGGACCCGAATCTGTTAGTATGGAACATTTTCTTTTCCAAGTGAAATCCCCTAGTATATGAAAGAGCGAAAAAGTGCTTTCGTTGTTGTGGAAGAAGAAGACTTCGTATCTTAATGCACGTATTTAATTTATTCGGAGCTATTAGAGCGGGATCCACTTTTTGGGGAATATGAGTCGAAGCAATAACAAGAATATTTCTAGTAGAACATCTTTCACAATCCCTGGAGAGATGGTTCACTAATAGACCGAGGGCTAAGTCATTCGACTCATTCACTCTTTTAAAAATTCAAAGATAATACTGAAGGGAAATTAACTAGCGAAAAATAAAAGATAATGCATAATGCTTTGTTCAGCCTTGCTACCCCGAAGCTCTTCGGGCCCTGGTGGTTCTGACGGACCAATTGTTGAGGCGCTCTCCTCGATTCACTGCCTGCATGGAAGGGCCTTCCTCCGCTTCCTCCTCGAGAATGACGTGACAGTCCATATTTTCGTCTTCCAAAAATAGGTTCTTCATTGCTGCTAATGCTTCATCTTCCTCTGACCCATAAATGATGTCGGCCGGCTGGAAAGTNGGAGAGTTTTGGGACACTTAGTCCCTAAACGAGAGCTTAAGTGTTAAAAAATGGTCCGTAGTCAGAACAGTATGAAGACGACCTCGGAATGGAAATCCAATGGTTCCGTTAGCTCCGTTAGGTGATTTCGGGGTTGGGAGCGTGTTCGAAATGTATTTTGGAAGTCCGTAGCTCATTTAGGCTTGAAATGCCGGAGTTTGTATTTTTGAAGTTTCCGGTCCGATAGTGAGTTTTTGATCCGAGGGTCGGATTGGAATTCCGGAAGTTACAGTAGTTCCGTCATGTCATTTGGGATGTGTGTGCAAAATTTCAGGTCATTCGGACGAGGTTTGGTTAGGTTTTTGATCGAAAGCGTGTTTGGTTGGAATTTGAGGTTCTTAGACTTGAATCTTTGATTAATTCGGGTTTCCAACGTTGTTTTAGGTGTTTTAAGGATTGGTACAAGTTCGAATAAGGTATTAGGTGGTATTGGTGCTTTTGGTTGAGGTCCCGGGGGGCCTCGGGATGATTTCGGGTGGTTGACGGAAAATTTTGAAGTTGAATGAATTGCTGAAGGTTCTGTCATCTGGTATTTCCGCTTCTGCGGCTTGGGAAGCGCACAAGCGGAGCCGCAGAAGCGGCTGGACCACCGCAGGAGCGAAATTCGAGTGCTTCTTCAGTTTCCGCAGGTGCGGAAGTTTAACCGCAGAAGCGGTTACGCACCTGCGAGATGGTAGTCGCAGGTGCGGTCCTTGGGATTTTGTTTGAAACCGCAGAAGCGGTAATGAATCCGCATAAGCGGCAACCGCAAGTGCGGTGAAGGGGCCGCAGAAGCGGAATCTTGACTTTAATGAAGAACCGCTGAAGCGGCTCGTGGTCCGCAGAAGCGGGACCGCAGAAGCGGTCCCTTGTCCGCAGAAGCGGAAACCCCTGGTCAGAAATAGAGATGTCGAGGGTTTGAGTTCTTAAGTTGCAAAAATCAATTGAGAGCTCGGTATAAGGCGATTTTGAGTGAGATTTGAAGTGAAGAACACTGGGTAACGTTTCTTTGGTCCCTTCTTGTTATATTTCATCATTATATAGTTAAATCCACCATTAGAATTCGAATTCAAGGTCAAAAATTTGGGAAAAATTGGAAGAAACTTCATAGACCTAATTATTGAGTTTTGAGTGGGCAATTGACTTCCGATTTAGGAGATTTTTATATGGTTAGACTCGTGAGAGTACGAGGGTTCTGAAAATGTGAAAATTATTCGATTCCGAGACGTTGGTCTGAGGGGCATTTTGGTCATTTTACCTATTTTTGCGCCCTAGCTCTAAATTTAATAGTGGAATCAGTTGTTTGCAATATTATGTACGATATGTAACTGAATTGAATAGATTTGGGCCATTTGGAGTCGGATACTCGTGGCAAAGGCATGGTTTCTATTGATATTGAGCCGGTTCGAGGTAAGTGGCTTGTCTAACCTTGTGTGGGGGACCTTTTTCCCCTTAGGATATGAGATGTGGTAATTGAGTGCCTTGTACGTGAGGTAACGAGCGCGTACTTGAGCTAATTGTTAAAAAATCCGGTTTTTACTTAAGATATTGAGACTGAGTTGCCTTCATATTTGCCTTGTTTTACTTGCAGTTATAATCTGTGTTAGATTAGAAAAGCATGTTTAGTTGATTTAACTTGCCTAATTGTTTATGTTGTCTTTACTGTACTACGTGAAGCATGCTAGGCTAGTACTACCTGATGTTTGTCTTTTGTACTTCATTTCTGAATATCTTCTGGTTGTGGTTGCGCATTTACATTGGGACTACGGATGTGGGATTCCGGTAGCTCCCCCCTTGTCTGTTTACTTTGGGACTGCGGGTTCGATTCCCGATAGATCGCCCTGCACATTTACTTTGGGACTGCGGGTTAGATTCCCGATAGATCCCCCTGCCTATTTACTTTGGGACTGCGGGTTAGATTCCCGATAGATCCCCCTGCACTTTTACTTTGGGACTGCGGGTTCGATTCCCGATAGATCCCCCTGCACATTGATGGTTGGACTACGGGACGGTATCCCGGGAGATCCTTCGGATGTACACATATGATGGACTACGGGACGGTATCACGGGAGATCCACTGGACAGTTGAGAAAAAGGGGCTACAGGACGGTATCCTGGTAGACCCTCATTGTTACCATTGGTATTGAGCTGTGTTTACCTGGTCATGGGGACCAGGTGCCGTCACGACATGTTCAAGATTGGTGAACTAGGGTCGTGACATACAATCAATCAGCTTATTTACAAACAATGCCCTTATATTCCCCATTAATCTCACCTCACAACCCCTCAAATCTGATAATACAAATTCCCTAATCCTCTCACCACTGCCCCTATTATTAAATTCCTTCACTAACACCTCATTTTCGTTTCTCCTAAATCCCGGAGAATCCAAAACCTTAAACCCTAAATCTCTTGATTCCACAGTTTGGTTGTTGTTATCCAAAACCCTAAGCCCTAAGTAATCATTTTGGGTTGTAGATTTCTTTGTTGATTTGTTCTTGAATGAGAATTTCTTCTTCGAGATAACATTGCATGCGACATGTTCGACTATTTGTTTGAGATCTGCTACGGTTTTGAGGCACGTGCATACTTCGTAAGAAGGAAGGGAAAATCAGTTTTCAGCGACGAGCTTTTCGAGATTAGAAATGGAGAGTGAGACGTTGTCGAGTTCGGGTTTTAAGGCCGAGTTGTAATGCGGGTCGGGTGTTTGACGGATGCGGAAGAGTGTGGATTCAATGGAGTTGTTGGATTCGAAGAAACGAGAAAAGAAGGACCTTGTGGAGTTTGATTCGGGTTTGCGGGTCGAACGGGATTGGTGTAGGTTTGAAAGGCGTTCGATCATTGCTGCATGCTTCCGTTGGAGAGCGGAATCTGAAGGATCAGTGGTGGTGGTGGTGGTCGGGTTTGAGAGGCGATCGTCTTCTTCCATTGATGAAGTTGCACAGTGCTTTTGTTCAGAGCTCAACTCGACAGAACGTGAAGGAAAATATTATGGAATTAACATAATGGACTACTTTTGTTTAGATCGTTGCACTTTGGTCCCTCTAGTTATTGGGAATTAGAGCTTTACACCCTTAGCTCTTAAAATGATGCGTGTTTAAAATTCAAAACTCTAAGTTCGGGCCAAACTTGTTACACATCTGACTGAAAAATATTTGATTCTCAAAAATAAGCTAAACTAAAAAAATGTGTTTAATTTAACATAAAATGGCATGTGTTTAAAATTCAGAACTATAATTACTTCAAAAAAGCATAACGTTTCATTAGGTAATAAGTATTTTTTACTTCACAACAGGTGATAAGTTCTTTAGAGCATAAAGCAAGGATTAATTTTACTAATGGCTATCGAACCAGAGGTCATAAAACTTAAGTTTGCAACCAAAAGAGTTCATCAATTATCCACAATTTTGTGTTTATGTTTTTGAATTTTTGAGCTACCTCTATTATACATATACTTGAACGTGTTGTTTATTAAGATACATGTTTATCTTGAGTTATTATAGAGTAATTTAATGTTCATGCATTCTAGAAAAAGGGCTTAAAAAACACCAAAAAAATGACAAGGCTTGAACCTTTTCTATAGCAACTGAAGAAAATCAACATAAGGTTGTAACACAAAAACTGAAATGAAGACAATTACAAATGCCATTTCATTGTTATTCTGCTAAGAAATGGTTAAAAAGAAAAGGATTCCTGAACTAGAAATTACAAGATATATAATCGCAAGTTTTAATAGGAACAACTGAATCTTTAATGGTTTTCTAGAGCACAGAGTTATCAGCTGCCTCACCATCAGAAATTTAAAGAACTTGTGGTACGGTGTGAATAAAAATCCAAAACTGTTTTAGAGATACCGATCTATGCAGCACCAATTTTGACGTAGAAAATATGTCTCTCTTTACCTTACCCCCTATAACCCCCCACCCCCAAAGAAAAACCCGGTCCCTAGAACCTCCTCATTTCAACCCTGAAGATATTCTCTAGTCTGTAATTTTAAACTTTTCTAATCCTCCTTTAGTCTCTATACTTCTTCAAAGATGACTTACTCCAAAGCATTGATTCTATTGATACCCTGCATTAAGTATAAGATAACTAGTAAAGCAAAATACAATCTCCTTTTTCTTTTCATTTTAAGGAAATCGGCAGTAAGCGTATATTTACCAAAGCCTAGGAGAGGAACATCGTCCCAAACCACCCTTTCTTGGGACAATACAGTATGTATTCCAACCAAAGTATGTGGTATTAATCACAAAACCACATAAAGTCAAAAGGCACAGGTATACACCAACAACTGCTAATAGCAAGTAGAAATTGATACCAAATAGGTAACAGAACACATAACAAAATCTATCTATCCAATAGTTAAAAGCGAACTTACAATAGGTCACAACTTATACTGGAAGGCAACAGCTTTAGCATAATCTTTCTATTCTATAAATTTAGATCATTTCTTAAACAGAAGAATAACTAGTGGAGTAACTAGTAAGTAATGCAACTAAACAACAAAAGCTGATGCATCCATATTCCTCAACAGATTCAAGTAAAATTAAGAAGATAACAAAAAAATTACCTACTTTGCACACTGAGGATTCAAGATTCAACATACTAACCACTCATCAAGACGAAAACTTTTCAGCAACTAATCTTTGCGTCTCGACTTGAAATATCCACCGCTCCAAGTCATTCATTTTCAGGCAAAATTGACCAATTTGGAGACTGCACTGCTCGTTACCACTTAAAATCATCCATATTGAACCAATTCCCTATTTCTTCACCAAGATTAGCTTCTTTAAGATCCTTTTCAATCCCATCATACTTCAAACAATACGGCGCAAACCTTACGCCATTACTATCCTCAATTATTGGCCTTCTCCTAACTCGAAGATAAAAATCACACCTTTTTGCTTGATGAATCAGAGTCTGATGCGACGCCATCATAAAAATGCAATCTTTAGCAGCATCAATCAAAACTGACCCGAAAACAGGTCCAACATAAACCTTACAATCAATCAGCTTATTTACAAACAATTCCCTTATATTCCCTATTAATCTCACCTCACAACCCCTCATATCTGATAATACAAATTCCCTAATCTCCTCACCACTGCCCCTATTTTTGAATTCCTTCTGTAACACCTCATTTTCGTTTCCCCTAAATCCCGGAGAATCGAAAACCTTAAACCCTAAATCCCTCGATTCCACATTTTTGTTGTTGTTATCCAAAACCCTAAGCCCTAAATCATCATTTTGGGTTGTAGATTTCTTTGTTGATTTGTTCTTGAATGAGAATTTCTTCTTCGGGATAACATTGCACGTGACCTATTCGACTATTTGTTTGAGATCTGCTACGGTTTTGACGCACGTGCATACTTCTTAAGAAGGAAGGGAAAATGAGTTTTCAGCAACGAGCTTTTCGAGATTAGAAATGGAGAGTGAGACGTTGTCGAGTTCGGGTTTTAAGGCCAGGTTGTAATGCGGGTCGGGTGTTTGACGGATGCGGGAGAGTGTAGATTCAATGGAGTTTTTGGATTCGAGGAAACGATAAAAGAAGGACCTTGTGGAGTTTGATTAGAGTTTGTGGGTCGAACAGGATTGGTGTAGGCTTGAAAGGCGTTCGATCATTGCTGCATGCTTCCGTTGGAGAGCGGAATCTGATGGATCGGTGATGGTGGTGGTGGGGTTTGAGAGGTGATGGTCTTCTTCCATTGATGAAGTTGCACAGTGCTTTTGTTCAGAGCTCAACTCGACAGAACGTGAAGGAAAATATTATGGAATTAACATAATGGACTACTTTTGTTTAGATTGTTGCTCTTTGCTCCCTCTACTTATTCAGAATTAGAGCTTTACACCCTTAGCTCTTAAAATGATGCGTGTTTAAAATTCAAAACTCTAAGTCCTGGCCAAACTTGTTACACATCTGACTGAAAAATATTTGATTCTCAAAAATAAGCTAAACTAAAAAAATGTGTTTAATTTAACATAAAATGGCACGTGTTTAAAATTTAGAACTATAATTACTTCAAAAAAGCATAACGTTTCATTAGGTAATAAGTTTTTTTTGCTTCACAGCAGGTGATAAGTTCTTCGGAGTATAAAGCAAGGATTAATTTTACTAATGGCCATCGAACAAGAGGTCATAAAACTTAAGTTTGCAACCAAAAAAGTTCATCAATTATCCATAATGTAGTGTTTATGTTTTTGAATTTTCGAGCTACCTCTATTATACATATACTTGAACGTGTTGTTTATTAAGATACATGTTTATCTTGAGTTATTATTGAGTAATTTAATGTTCATACATTCTAGAAAAAGGGCTTAAAAAACACCAAACAAATGACAAGGCTTGAACCTTTTCAATAGCAACTGAAGAAAATCAACATAAGGTTGTAGCACAAAAACTGAAATGAAGACAATTACAAATGCCATTTCATTGTTATTCTGCTAAGAAATGTCTAAAAAGAAAAGGATTCCTGAACTAGGAATCACAAGATATATAATCGCTAGTTTTAATAGTAACAGCTGAATCTTTAATGGTTTTCTAGAGCACAGAGTTATCAGCTACCTCACCATCAGAAATTGAAAGAACTTGTGGTACGGCGTGAATAAAAACCCACAACTGTTTCAGAGATATCGATCTATGCAGCACCAATTTTAACATTGCAAATATGTCTCTCTTTACCTTTACCTGCTACAACCCCCCACCCCCAAAGCAAAACCTGGTCCCTAGAACCTCCTCATTTCGACCCTGAAGATATTCTCTAGTCTGTAATTTTAAACTTTTTTAATCCTCCTTTAGTCTCTATACTTCTTCAAAGATGACTTACTCCAAAGCATTGATTCTATTGATACCCTGCACACTGAGGATTCAAGATTCAACATACTAACCACTCATCAAGACGAAAACTTTTCAGCAACTAATCTTTGCGTCTCGACTTGAAATATCCACCGCTCCAAGTCATTCATTTTCAGGCAAAATTGACCAATTTGGAGACTGCACTGCTCGTTACCACTTAAAATCATCCATATTGAACCAATTACCTATTTCTTCACCAAGATTAGCTTCTTTAAGATCCTTTTCAATCCCATCATACTTCAAACAATACGGCGCAAACCTTACGCCATTACTATCCTCAATTATTGGCCTGCTCCTCACTCGAAGATAAACATCACACCTTTTTGCTTGATGAATCCGAATCTTATGCGACGCCATCTTAAAAATGCAATTTTTAGCTTCATCAATCAAAACTGACCCGAAAATAGGTCCAACATAAACCTTACAATCAATCAGCTTATTTACAAACAATGCCCTTATATTCCCCATTAATCTCACCTCACAACCCCTCAAATTTGATAATACAAATTACCTAATCTCCTCACCACTGCCCCGATTATTAAATTCCTTCGCTAACACCTCATTTTCGTTTCCCCTAAATCCCGGAGAATCCAAAACCTTGATCCCTAAATCCCTCGATTCCACATTTTGGCTCTTGTTATCCTAAACTCTAAGCCCTAAATCATCATTTTGGGTTGTAGATTTCTTTGTTGATTTGTTCTTGGATGAGAATTTCTTCTTCGGGATAACATTGCACGCAACCTGTTCGACTATTTGTTTGAGATCTTCTACGGTTTTGAGGCACGTGCGTACTTCGTAAGAAGGAAGGGAAAATGAGTTTTCAGCGACAAGCTTTTCGAGATTAGAAATGGAGAGTGAGACGTTGTCGAGTTTGAATTTTAAGGTCGGGTGTTTGACGGATGCGGGAGAGTGTGGATTCAATGTAGTTTTTGGATTCGAAGAAACGAGAAAAGAAGGACTTGTGGAGTTTGATTCGGGTTTGCGGGTCGAATGGGATTGGTGTAGTTTTGAAAGGCGTTCGATCATTGCTGCATACTTCCGCTGGAGAGCGAAATCTGAAGGATCGGTGGTGGTGGTGGTGGTGGGGTTTGAGAGGCGATCGTCTTCTTCCATTGATGAAGTTGCACGGCGCTTTTGTTCAGAGCTCAACTCGACCGAACGTGAAGGAAAATATTACGGAATTAACGTAATGGACTACTTTTGTTTAGATCGTTGCACTTTGGTCCCTCTACATATTGGGAATTAGAGCTTTACACCCTTAGCGCTTAAAATGATGCGTTTTTAAAATTCAAAACTCTAAGTTCTGACCAAACTTGTTACACATCGGACTGAAAAATATTTTATTCTCAAAAATAAGCTAAACTAAAAAAATGTGTTTAATTTAACATAAAATGGCACGTGTTTAAAATTTAGAACTATAATTACTTCAAAAAAGCATAATGTTTTATTAGGTAATAAGTTTTTTTTGCTTCACAGCAGGTGATAAGTTCTTCAGAGTATATAGCAAGGATTAATTTTACTAATGGCCATCGAACCAGAGGTCATAAAACTTAAGTTTGCAACCAAAAGAGTTCATCAATTATCCACAATTTTGTGTTTATGTTTTTGAATTTTCGAGCTAACTCTATTATACATATACTTGAATGTGTTGTTTATTAAGATACATGTTTATCTTGAGTTATTATAGAGTAATTTAATGTTCATGCATTCTAGAAAAAGGGCTTAAAAAACACCAAACAAATGACAAGGCTTGAACCTTTTCAATATCAACTGAAGAAAATCAACATAAGGTGGTAGCACAAAAACTAAAATGAAGACAATTTCAAATGCCATTTCATTGTTATTCTGCTAAGAAATGGTTAAAAAGAAAAGGATTCCTGAACTAGGAATTACAAGATATATAATCGCAAGTTTTAATAGTAACAACTGAATCTTTAATGGTTTTCTAGAGCACAGAGTTATCAGCTACCTCACCATCAGAAATTGAAAGAACTTGTGGTATGACGTGAATAAAAACCCAAAATTGTTTTAGAGATACCAATCTATGCAGCACCAATTTTGACGTTGCCAATATGTCTCCCTTTACCTTTACCTGCTACAACCCCCCACCCCCAAAGCAAAACCTGGTCCCTAGAACCTCCTTATTTCTACCCTGAAGATATTCTCTAGTCTGTAATTTTAAACTTTTTAGATCCTCCTTAAGTCTCTATACTTCTTCAAAGATGACTTACTCCATCGCGTTGATTCTATTCATACCCTGCTTTAAGTATAAGATAACTAGTAAAGTATCACGACCCAATTTCCATACGCGGTCGTGATGGCGCCTCTCGTGAAGACAATGCCAGCTAACTAACCCAATCCGTTTCTTTAACAATTAGTAAACATAAATGTATAGATAAATATAGCTTAGCGATAATAATAACCAGTATGTACAACCCAACACAACCCGACCGGGGTGTCACAAGTCACGAGCATCTAAAGAAACTTGAACACAACTACAAGGCCAATAATAATATATAAGGAAAAATCCTGGAAATCAAAAGACAACATCCGGTGCCGCGAACACTGGCGGTCACCTTACTCAGCTACAATAGCCATACCTTCAATCAGCTAATAACCCGCTACCGGGTGAACAATACCTGCAACTGCACGCGAGGTGCAGGGAGTAAAGTGAGTACTTCCAACTCAGTGAGTAATAAGAGTAAATAATAACTGAGAGGCAAGAAATCACGTAAGAGCACTCCATCATGCTATATAGGACAGTACCACTCTTTGAGAAAACAGTAAAACCGTGAAAATCCTTTAGAAAATATCTGGCTCAGTTTAAAACCTCTTTTGAAAACATCCTTTTCCAACAGTCAAGCAAATGAACGCGTAATCAGATAGTGCAAGTCCGCACATAAGTCAGCCCCTCGGGCACAGAACTCCACAAACAGTTAACACCAGGGCGTCTGGTAAACAGTACAAGCAATAGCATGGATGCCAATGATATGAGAGTGCCAAATGTCATGACACGTAGTACAAATAGGAACCAATGCATGAATGCAATGTAATGCATATGACCGCTGCGGCGCGCAGCCCGATCCTTTTGGGTACCCGCGCTCACTGTGGGGGTTCAGACTCCGGAGGGGCTCCTACAGCCCAAGCGTAATATCATCATAGTATCGCTGCGGCGTGCAGCCCGATCCATCCTCAGTCCAGAGCATGCAAATGAGCC